ACAGCTCGGTCATATCTATTCGTTGCGTTTTCCTGGTTATTTCATCTTCTTTTGATTGGGTCCCGGTCATCCCTCCTTTTTTAAACTGGAATCTTTTGGCACCCCGAGACCGCTGTTTTCGTGGCTTTCTGATTATTTCACCGAAAGAATCCAATGTACAAAGCCGGGCAGGAATAACTCAGGTCCTCCAGTCAATAACTCTGGTGTGCTCCAAGGTGCTGTCCTCTCTACGTATTTTTTCTCTGCTTTCATTTGTTGTTTTTCAGTTCCACACCCTTCTCGTATCCAAAGTATGCTGACGATCTCGCTTTATGTCAGACCGTCTCTTCTTCGGAATTTTCTTCCTTCAAAGAAAATCTGTCTCGAATAGTACAGTTTTCAAACCATTCTGGTCTTAATCTTAACACATCCAAGTGCTTGGACTGCATGTTTAGTTCTTCCCGCTTTACATTCCCGTTAGACTCTGTAACCCCTAATAGTCTAGCTTTTGTCTAGAGTAACCTCAGCCAAATATCTGGATTTTACTGTCGATAATAATCTTCGGTGGTCGACACATCCAGAACTGCATGGGAAAACTTTGGCGCCTCTCCTTTCAGCTCCGAAAGCTCAGACGATTTCGTACTCCCCAACAAGTTTCGTTCTCTTTTGTTAAACAATGCGTTCTCCCTATTTTACTTTACTTTTCCTCTGTAGTGCCTTCCGGTCTATTGAAACAAGACTTCAAAACTGTCCGTCGTGGATTGATGATAATAACCTTGCATCTTTAATTTCTGCCGAGTCATTAACCACAGAACTTATTAATGGTCATGTGAAGTATTGTATGATCTTTGCGAATAAGAGTCTAAATGACCCCACCCATCCTTTGCATTTTGACTTATCTTCTTGTCGCTCCCACTCGATCACTCGTTCTTCTTATCGGTGTCTACCCTTTCGTATAAACATTTATAAAATCTCCTGTACCATATCTAGCTCGAATCTTGATCAACAAGGAATCAAACTTCGGAAACATTTTTTACACAGCACTCTATTTTATTTGTCTTCATTTCTATGTTTTCTCCAGTATGACAACCAGTGTACATTTTTTAACTGAAATGTAAGCATATCTCTTGCAAAAGTTATACAAATACAAACATAAGATCAAGAAGGTAGGAGAAAATAAGACTAATAGCTGTGGCGACCACTGTTATGTCGGCAATACAGCCTCACTAATCCATTGCGGGCTGTTTCGTTGTTTTCAGCCAGCTTAACAGGCGAACATTTCTTTAATCAATCAGGAAAAGCCGATGCACTGCAGAACTCAACTGCGTCAGAGTTCAAAAATTCCAACGTGTGATTGCAGCCTTTCATCGACGGTCTCAAAACAGGCGTGGGATCGACGAATGTAGTGGAAGGAATTATGGATAACGTGAACTCACATAATCAAACCTAAAGCATCTAAAGCAATATTCCTGGGCGTAAACAAAGTCTAAAAATAAGTTGAACGTGGCAACGTTAGTTTCAACTTTAGGTCTCTTTGAAAGCGCCATCATCAAATTATGTCCCAACTTATTCAGAACGGAAAGATGGCGACTTCATCGAGGTTTAACTGTATCTCTTTCATTTCACAACGGACATAGTCGCACTTCTTCCTAGTGCAATTGGTTGCTCATATATGCTTGCACCAGTTTTTACAATTCTTTATTTGCTCGACCGGATTCTGAATAGCACGATGCGTCTGTCGCTTCTAACTTGCAGTAACTAGCCTACCAAGCTTTTTCCTCATTAGGATTCTTCGCGGTTAGTGTGGCTTTTTTGAACGAAAATTGTACTGTTTATTTCTGTTCATTTTTGATTCCTTTTCGTTACTATACACGGACTGTCAACCACTTAATTGATGTACCTTTGTATAGGAACCGTATGTTAGGTTTGCACTCATCGTTTTTGTGCAGGAATTACAAGTTACCGAAATCGTTTGCGGAGCTAGTTTTGACAGAAGTGGTCGCCTTCAGATTATTCCTTAAGCTGTTTCTTCGGAGATTTTGGTAAACATTAATCATCGAAGTAGACTGCCGGGGACGCGTTCTCACAAGGATTCCCAACCAGTGCGTTAGCTTATTAATCCGCATTGTGCTGGCATCACGTGCACTGACTATTTGTTTATTTCGCTCTCATTGTAAACATTTGAAATATTTATTTGTTCTTTTTTCATTCAGCCTTGTTGAATGTGACGGAATAAACCGGTTCCGTGAGCTATCCTCAGGATTACTCTTTCACTATGTCTTCGACCCCAACTGGTTCCGCACCCGTTCTGAGGAAACAGACTCTGAAAATTGCCACACCCACAGATTTAATAGAGATAGCTAGACAGATACAAGAGTGTGAACAGTATGTCTCAGCCAACACCTGCTCACGGCTTCACATGATTGTCAAACAAATGAAAAACTTGAAGGTAAATATATGTGCATAAGGTTTGAATTTCCCTTTTGTTTTATTTGCAGAAAGAAGCGGAACAGATCTTGAAAAACTGTCAGCGGGATATAGAGGTGCACAAATTGCCGTGCAATTTTGTGAAGAAACCCGGCAACACATACTACGTATATCAGCGTTCAGATGGAACTAAATATCTCGGATTACTTTCACCCGAAGTATGCAAACCAACCATGTTTCGATTTTATTCACATTTTTTCCCATTCTGTAGGAGTGGGGCCCCTCTTGTCCGAGCGCATTCCTGGGAGCATACAAGTTAATGCCTGACATGACCTGGGTACCTGAAACCGAGTTGCAAGACTGGAATAAAACTGAGGAAGTCGTCAAACACATTCTGTCCACCCCTAGTTTTCTGGCCATTGATTCTAAAGAGAGCGTGTAAACTTTCTATCCCGGTTTATTTTTACTGACTGGTTTAACGCCATATCCAAACGTAGACTTCTAGAATAGGATTTGAATACCACTGCTGTCAAATGCCTCTGATTTTTATTTTAGTGTGATTTAATCGTACCCCACACCGGTGGAGGTGGCGGGTTTGATAATTTATCCAAGAAACGGGTTTCTCGGGTCAAGATAAATGGTAATCGCACTTCGGGATGCCCGGCCTCTTCTCCTTCTGGAGTCCGTAAATTGAGTCGAACGACCACGTCATACGCTATGAACACACTGCGACACGCTTGTTTGTTTGTCAGGTGATTCACCTCGTTTATTGTGATTGCTAGTCTGGGCTCAGTAATCGGCTCCGGCCCATCTGCTGGTGCAGCCGTTGCCGGCGGTGATGTTGGAGCGTTCTTAGGAGGGCTTTTTTCTCGTTTTGGTGATTTCGATTTCGCCGGCGACTTTTTCTCCTTTGGTGAGGCAGATTTGGCACTTGGTGAACCTTTTTGGCTCGATTTTTGGCCTGCTGGGGGTTCTGGTTCTTCTACTACGGCTACAGCCACCTGGGTAGCGTTCATGATAATTGTACTACTCGCTAGGAATACTTTCTTATCCACGGACATTTTCCCTTCAATGGCCAAATTGTATTTAGTTTGATCGTATGCCGGTTTGAGAAGCACATCCTTTGTGAAATTCTTACTGCGTGGATTGATGGGTAAACCCGGATCACCAGATCTGAGAATCACTTCACCCAGAGGGATACTGCTGTCATGCGGGAATTGATGGAATAAGCGATATGTTTGCTCCACGAACACTGCAATCAAGTTGACTACATGCCTGCCCGAGTTGTTCTCAATGTTAATTTTCACTTTGATATCTTGTCCATGATAGTAAATATCACGATCCAGTTGGGCCTGTAGTAGCAAATCGCCTGTGTCCTCTTGCGTGCAGTAACGTGTATAGGCGATGGGTGGAGTCTCGCGCAGACAAGACGGAGTCAGAGTCGGACAAATGGTGTACTTGAAAAATTCCATCTTAGTTTCTTCTTCCGGCTTCGTTTGGCAATCCTCCTCGTTTGCAATATAGGCACGCAACGTCCAGAACAAGCCACTGCTGAAATCTGAATAGTATGGTCTAGTAAAGAATAGTGAATCCGGTTTTCGGGTCAAATCGAATGTGTACTGAAACAGTCGGTAACCGCGACCCAGGCTTTTGCGTAACTTAAATATTAGTTGTTGGTTAAATGACGACACTTCCTTCTCATCGTCGAAACTAACAGGATGGACCAGCTGTATGTCCCGAAAACACTGACACTTGGCAATCACATTCTCCGGATAAGGCGGAACTTTAGAGTGTCCACAGTAACGAAAATGAGCACTCACCTCTGCATAAAGCTGTTTACCCGGGGTCAAGTGGGATTTATGAATGCTAATAATTCCGGTTATCTCAGCCGGTTCATATTCTGGTTTTGGCGTTTCTTCCTCAAGCCCTAGTGCACCTCCTTTGGGTGATTTCTTTGGGGAATTTTTTCCCGATCCGGGACTTTTCTTTGGTGATGCACTGCAGTTAAATTGTTCGTATGGCGGAATTCTGTTCCAAATCTCGTATAAGTGAATACTGCGTGCGTAAACCGTAATAATGGGGCCGCGTTGCACAAACACAGCATCCATGTTGTCATAACGTCTTCTAGCGAAAAAACGTTCACATACTGCTTGATCCTCCGCAGTAAACTTTGAGGATTTTTTCCCCGGGCTATTTTTTCCTCCTTTGGGAGACCCCTTTGGTGACCGTTTGGGACTAGGCATTTTCAGCACTGGGAGTTAGCGCCTACGCCTGTCTCCCTCTTTCCTAATACACTCACACTGATTCAAATGATTTATCGATCCATGCTAATCACGTGCTCAGACTTAGACTTTAATTGGTAATATGTTTAAGCGTGTGAACGTGATTATATCAATGGTTGCACTTGCAAGCCTATATGTGGCTTATCTTTTCGTATTTCTCTCACTCTCATTTGTCTCTTGCTCTCTTTCACACGGATAGAAACTAGAGATCTAACTACATGAATCTCATAGAAATTTTGAAATAGGATTTTTTCTACCTATTCCGGTGTGCAGGCCTTCACTGTCGGTGCTTTGTTTCGACACCGTGCGATTTCCATATTGTTGCAAACAAACGCATTGTCTATCGCATTTGAAGCGTGAAGCGGGCTGAAAATCGTTGTAAATCCTTCCAGCTGCCACCACAAAATAGTACCACGCTAATCCTATTGTCTATAATATTGGAATTCGCATAACTTAATAATCCAACGAATTGAGTGTTTTTTTCATCTATTGCAACAATAGATCTACTGTTGTGTGTATTAACAGCGCTGCGTGGAAAACTGATTTTTTGCACAAATTGTCAAAAATTTTATATGCATAATAAATCGAATTGATAATTGTTCATCTGTTATTGTTCGTTCTTTTTTCGGAATATTTTTATTTCACTTCCTTGTTATTCAAAATATAATGATCCAGTTCTCAGGAAGCGGACAATCAAAGGGCTGGTATATAACAAATAATGGGGAAAGTCATCCATCTAAATCACCCGATTTCTTCATCTCTGTTTTCTTTAACTCGGCTGTAAATGTTATGCGGCCTCAGACTGATGTCAAGGATTATTTCTGACCCTAACAATTATCACCGGACCAGGCTACTAGTAAAAATCTGGAACCGTACAACCCACTGATTGTATTCTTTAAACTCAAACAATGATATCGTATATCCGAATTCACCTGAGCGGCTACCGTTTGCGTGAACCCTCAACGCGATGTGGTAGACCGAATTTAAGAAATAACAATTTGAAGCATTGAGTTTCCTTATTCCCTTTCATCAATACAGAAAGAAGACAAATGCCGTTTAATCTTCTCGGTCGCTGACAGATATAACACATGGGGTTAATCAGTTAAGGGGAACGAACGTATACAGGTATACAAAGATCATTAAATTTAGAAGCAGAAGGTCAACTCCACGGTAAGTGGATTGTTTGTATCAAAACTGTTTGTGCGCATAAGGTCGGATGATGTAATCGAATAAGCAGTGCTACACTAATTACGAACAATTTAGCATTGTGATTACGTAATAGTGGTTTGAAAGACGAACTGCTGTTGTAGCGGTTCTTCAACCAACAGTTTCGCAACGGCAGTTTTATTTTCTTGCCTCTTGCTTTTCTGTAAGTTTCCTGGTAGATCCATTCAAGCTGGACATGATCATCAAATCACGGACCAGAAGCACCTTTCCCCTACGGTGGTGACTAGCATCAGGACAGGTTCAGTTTCCAAACAGTCATGTATAATTGAGGGCTATCAGGGCATGGTAACATAACCATGGCACACTTATCTGAACCATCAAGGTCCAGAGATTTTCTTGAAATGCAGTACTATCATAGAGATCGATTGGTTGATATAAAAGAAGTACAAACCTCGAATCACGAGGCAACTTGGAGAGTGCGTGATTGCACTGTCAAGGCCCAACCAAATGATAGTGCGTCTTATTTTGAATGTTATAATGTTACTAACAGCGATCTCGGTAAAGAATCATATTCATCGACGTTTCGGTTACCGTGGATAAGCTTTCTGAATCAGGTTTTACAATCATCTTTATTAGGATAGTTGAGATTTACAATGAGAACCACATACCAAAATGAGCTTTCAAAGGTTGTCAAAGAGTGCGGTTCAGTCAAAGTCAACGGTCAAATTACCTTAGGTGGCAAGCACGCGTGCACAAGGGTTCAATGCCTGTCAGCCAACCAATCAAACGTACGGGGTCGAAATACCAATCACGTGAGGGACGAGAACAATGAACTTGTGTGGGCGTGCAGGTGTGTCGATCGGTGGATGCCTACCGGGTCACGAATAAGGAGAGCGTGGAGTAGTGCGGCGAACAACTAAGGACGAAGATGATACGGGTCAGTGGCGAGAGAACACAGACGGACAGATCCATAGACCCACTGGATCAACGCGGGCGTAGTACGTCCACTAAGAAAATGGAAGAACTGATAGAATCAGTCGATAATGATGAGTGACTGGGAAGTTGTGTATGCGGTTGGAGCGTGATTATGGAATGTCTGTTTAAGAGCGATACAGTGTCAACATCCATGTTTATTTGTCTTTTCTGCTCCACTCTTGCATCGGCACATGGAGACTTAGGTAAAACCCACTATGTATAACATTCATTTTGAATTATGGAGCATACATTCCAGTTCAGTTCACGCTATTATCAACCCTTCGCTTGGTAGTTCCGGTTTCTGTCTTTTTACTACCCACCTGTAGCACAGATTAAATCAATTAAGTGTAGAGCGGGAATAAACATTAGCTCTCATCGAAGGCCGGTACAGTATATACTCCATAAAGGTCATACATCTATACACCGTTTGAATGTTCACGTTCATTTGCTGCGAAACAAGTTCGCAAATAATTGTAATAATTGCAGTGCTGATTTCATGGCAGCTCCGGCTGAATACGATTTGACTGGTGCAGTGCCATGCGTGGCATAAATGATAATCCAACTTGGGAATTACCGTATCTATCAACTGGCTACTTGTCAGCAGTCAATAACGATAATGTGTATTGTTTTTACGCACAAGTAGGCTTTGTGCACCAACCTTATATCACACTTTTTTCACATTTCTCATCTGTATCGTATACCTTGGAAAGTTCGAGATAATTTCATTCAAGCAAAATCATCGGAGGTCACATTCGTATCTGGCTGATTCGTCAGATGTATGCAAGGAGTTAATCTAAAGTAACACTAGACCGACCGCAATGTTCAAATCCGCCGAAACAGTTAAATACTATTTCAGACCTCTTCGGATTATCAAGTTGCATTTCTCGCTAACAATTTCTCATAACATCAGATGTTTTAGGATTTTTCTCACCCAAGGAACGTGACAGAACCGCACGGGACCCCCTGTAGTAGATGGATAAATAAGTTACAAATAACCCCACCTCCACTCTTTGTGTGAAATGTTTAAATAATGTTTTGCACTTGCCATAGCCGTGTTCTTTTTTAATTATGGGGCTTTGGAAGCTACACTTTATTATCTATGTAAAGCTAAAAGTCGCACACATTACCTTCACACTTGTGGAGCGCACGTTTCAGTTAGAAGAAAACCACGATTCACCTACTATTGCAATTTCGGCTTTTACAGCCTTTCCTTTTTACTTACTAAACATCAGATTCTGCTTCCGTTTGGCGATGATTGGATTTAATTTACCTTACGGCGGCTGATTCCTGATCCCAAATTGCATCTGCTCAGGCTCGGCGGCAAGATCTGAACAGATTGTGATCCAGCCGGACTTCCATTGGTGGTTGCTGTATACGAAGCGGAAACCAAGGTGTTCTGCATCCTTGTCTAGCCCAGTTTTGAGCTGTCAACCGCCAGTTTGGGCAGGGAGGCGCTGCCAAGGCAGATTTGGTCATGTCGTTGTCTAAGTTACACAGTATGAGTTCAAATAGTTGCAGTCGCTGCCACTGTATGGATATGTGTAACCGTATAAGATTAAAAAAAACTGGCTTCGAACCTGGTGAACTGAACTATCTGTTTGATTCTCAGAATGATCCTTAGGCATCAGTGATCGAAGAGTTCTGATCTTGAACTCCTCCTGATCAGTTTTCGCAACCGTATAGGAAGACAGGACGTACTACTACGGCGAAAACTCTTGTTTTTCTCTTAAGGCTGATTTGATTTCTATGCCATAGAGAATCCTTCAGCTGTAGAAGTGCCTTTCGGGTCTTTTGGACCGTGCAATCGCGGGTTTGTGGACCTATATGGTTTCTGTCTTTCGAATTCCATATTGTTTATATACCCCGTACCTTCAGTACCTTCGGTAGATCAGTGATTTCGCAGTCTACCTTTTCTGTTTCCTCCTTTCCTTTGTTGTATCTCGAGAACTTTTATCATTCGAAATGGTATCAGAAAGCCTTCGAGCATTATTGTATGCTCATAAATACACTGCAGTGTCGTTGTGTGGTTTTTCATTTTTAATTGAATACATAAAGATGCAATTTTCAGAAAGGGGGAAGCGGCCAATCAAAGGGCTACCATACAACACACAAATGGGGAAAGTCAGGCGGTGGTGATAGCGGTATTCGAACACATCCTCCGGAGTGACGAATTTCGTGATGTTATCACCGGGACGCCCTCAGATTACTTCGTGCTGACTCGTAAGCGGACCGCGGTTGTATTCGAACCTTCCGGGACCTAGAGTGGCTTGTCACCAACAGGCTTTACTAGTATAATCCAAAAGTAAGTGGAGAAATAAAATAAAAATCCACTAAATGTGTTTAGTGGCCAAAGTACTGAATGAATGAAACGAAGTTTCTGGTACAGAATATGTGTAAAGTCAAAGTTTTGTTATTGGAAATACTTACAAGCGGTTGCTTTTCTAGTCCCATAGGGTTTAGCACAGATGAATCGATTCACGGTTCATAGAAAGCAGACGAATATCACAATGTATTCTTCTTTCGTGCGCTGCTACGGATGTTGAAACCTAATACTTGTCAAAGCCTTATCCAGTTTGTGCTTGAAGGAATCATTTATGGGTGCAGAAATAACGTATGGTGGCCGGGAATTCCAAGTAGTGCACTCTGTGAGAGCGAATGAATGACGCCGACATTTTTGGAGCAGGTGAGTGTTGGACGACAAGGCCGAGTGAACGACATGGGTGATCTGGATTCAGCATTATTTGATACACCAATGTCAAGTTCCCTCGAATGCGGCGATGCTATGTGGAGTACGATTGCAGTGATTTTTGTTTTTCCGC